GTCATCATGGCCCACTCAAAAGTTTCACTGCCTGAGACACCCTCTCCCAGGATCCTGCCCAAGGCAGTGACTGTGGGCATTATAGCCTGTGTCTACTGAAGGGGGTGTGCCCACCAGAGAACTCACCTGCAGTGGTATGTGTCCTGAATGAACATGCACACGGCACTGCCAACACACACGCATGCACATGAACACATGTGTACTGGAAAGCAATCCAAAATCCCTAGAAGACCTAGAGAGGTGTGGAGAAGCACATTTCTGATTTTCACAGACACCCAGTGGCCAGGACCACTGTTATGCGGCTCTAGCCTGAAACCCTTGCTCCTCTCGGCCTGTGTCAGCCACAGCTCTCCAGAGAAACAGAACTCACAGGAGGTTTAATATGTGTGCGCATTTGTGTGTGGAGAGAGACAGATTTTTAGTAATTGCTCATATGGCTGTGGAAGCTGGCAAGTTTGAAATTGACAGGGCCGGCCAGCAGCCTGGAAACCCAGGTAGGAGCTGATGCTGTGGTCCTGAGGCAGAATTCATCCATCCTAGGAAAATCTCAGAGTTTGCTCTTAAGGCCTTCACCTGATTGGATGAGACCTACCCACACTGTCAAGGGCAATCTGCTTCCCTTGAAGTCAGCTGATGGGAGAGGCTGACCACGTCCACCAGCACCTTCTTATCCACACCCAGACGGGTGTCCAATTCAACCAATGGGCACAGGAGCCTGGCCACAGGATATGTAAATCTGACCATCAGCCCATCAGGGTCTAAGCCAGGTATCAGAACCCGCCAGGGTATAAGCACCCACTCGAGTGTCAGAACCCAGGACCCAGTGATACCAGAGAATCAGAACCCACTCAGGTTGACACACCAAGGAGTCACACCTGCTTCTCACTCCAAAGTGCTTCCTGTACACACATTCTCATATGCTTTCTCTGATATGAAATGTTACTTGAGAGACTCTCCAGCACACTGCAAAATGTAAACCATGATTGTACGCATATGTGCCTGTTTATCAGAGGATCCAGATGCAATGTGTTCTTTAAAATCTTTTTGTTGGGTTGCTAAATAGTGGATTATACAAAGTGACCAAGCAACAAAAACTTCAAGTTTTAAACTTCAGCTAATTCTCTCATCTCCACCAAACCTTTCTTTAATAAAAATGACTGCAATAAAAAATCCCTAAAGAACAGAAAAACTGCCTGGCTCCAATCAATGAGCAATATCATGCAGCCACATCCAATAGAATGAAATGGCACAAGATTGCTGCTATGAGATCCGACCCGTAGAATTAAAATGCGCATGACCTTGTCCTTATAAAATGAATAGTGGGAACGGAGAAGTCAGCAAAGGAGAGTTATATTAAACTCAAAATCAGGAAGTCAAGTTCTTCTAAGAAACGCCCCTTAAAATGTTCAAGAGAGTTTGTATAATCGCAAATATATGGGGGGAAATGTCATAAATATACTTTTCATTATGGTTGAAGAAATGGAAGAGAAGTCTACTTCGTAAATGTGGGGGTAAAGCCCTCTGCCTTATGAAACGGGGGGATAGGGGAAGGGAAGGAAACATTTGGGACTAAATATTGTCATTTGAGTGGCGCAACTGATGAAAGCCAGGAAATTCTAAATGTATACACCGACAATCTGCCACTCCAATTTTACACTCCGGACCCCTGAACAAAAGCTACACTGTGAGGTGCCTGGGGACAGCGCTGGCGTGACTGCGGAGGGAATGGGGCACAGGTTTCCTTTCAATTTAATGACTTTTCAGTGTTGAGTGTGAAAACCAAAATGTTGTTCTGCGAGGCAAGGCGGATGTTCAGCCCTGCCCCTCCCCGAGGCAATCCAGTGAGATGGTTTTGTGACTGGGGATAGTCGTCTTGCCCTGTGTCACCTTGAAGCTTTTAAATCCAAGGGTGCTCCTACCAACAGGATCCCTCCTGCCCTATACATGGACACAGAGGGGCAGCCACATCGTCCCTGGGTACTGAGCCCAGACAACCCTGGCACTGTCCCCGCTGCAGTGAATCAACTCTGGCCACGGCTGACACTGGCTTTCTACAGAAAGCCAAATGCCAGCATGCAGGGAATCAACCCAGGAGAGGACTGTGTGTGTTCAGAGTCAAAGAGCCCCTTAGAATGGCAGCCACTGTTCACTGGCATGCATTCTGGGGGGAAATGACAGAGCGACCATAAGTCATGGCAACCCCGGGGCTCCCTGTGTTTATTTACTGAGTTCAGCCAACAGCCTTCAAAGTGATTTAGACGGCCCTCCAGATAAAACTCTGGGAGATTCAAAAGGGGCTTTTACAAACTTCACCTTGCCGGGGTGATGGGCACAGGTGGGTGGGAGAAAGCTCAGAGGAGGCGTCGGAAAGGGCCTGGGGCCTAAGACCACCTCCCATGAGCGCCTCCGAAGTCTAGGGGTGGTTCTCTGAAAATAAGATTGGGGTGTTGAGGGACAAGGTACCCCAGGCCCCAGGCCCAGGTACCCAGAGCAAAGATTGCTCTGCAAGTCGCCTACCCAAGCCTGAAGCTGCAGAGAGCACAGGAGGAAAAGAAAAAACACACAAGCCTTGAGACCAGGGGGGCAGAAACCAAGAGGCAATGGCCGGGCACAGTGACTCAAGCCTGTACTTCCCAGCACTTTGGGAGGCTGAGGCCAGAGGATTGCTTGAGGCCAGGAGGCTGAGGCTGCAGTGAACTGTGACTGCACCACTGCATTCCAGCCTGGTTGACAGAGCAAGACTCCATTGCCACAAAAAAATTAAAATGCAAAGAAAGGAGCAGGAGGCCGGGTGTGGTGGCCCACACCTATAATCTCAGCACTTTGGGGGGCCAAGGCAGGTGGATCATTTAAGGTCAAAAGTTTGAAACCAGTCTGGCCAACATGGCGAAAACTTTCTCTACTAAAAATACAAAAAATTAGCTGGGCACAGTGGCGGGCACCCGTAATTCCAGCTACTCAGGAGGCTGAGGCAGGAGAATTGCTTGAACCTGGGAGATGGAGGTTGCAGTGAACTGAGATCACACCACTGCACTCCAGCCTGGACAACAGAGTAAGACACCATCTCAAAAAAGTAGGTGGGGGGACCAGGTGGGGAACAGAAAGAGAAGAGACATAAATAGTAGATTTGCTGAATCCTGGGATTCTTTCCCTTTATGTGCTTTGAGGCTAAAATCTCTGGGCTCTGAGAAAAGCCACTCGGGACGTCGGCAGTGGTCTCCGTACTTTTTCGGATGACAGCTAACACTGGTGCAGTTTGTGCTTGTTTCTCATTGTAAGGCATTTCTTTGCTCCGGCGTAAAGTTCTCCCCAACAGCCCACCCCGCACTAATGGGCCTAGGGTGATGGCCACACTCACAGGGACCCACCGCACACTGCCTGTCCTCCTCCTCCTGGCTTCCCCACAGCCGCTGAGCCACAGAGGACACTTTCCTGCCTTCACAACTCCGCCTAGACTGTTCCCTCTGCTCAAATGCCCTTCCCACACGAATTCCCCCAAAGAAATCCTAATTGTCCTTCAACACACAGCTCAAAAGTCGTTTCCTCCAACGCACCCAGGAGAGAAGAGGCCACATTCTGCCCATGTTCCCCAGAAACTCCAGAGGGAGCAGGATACACTTATCCCTCTGAGTTTGAGAGGCAGGGTCGAGTCTTCGTCTGTGTGCACTTGGCCCCTGAACACAGCAGGTGCTCCAGAAATGTCAGGCCCATTCCCCTAGAAATCAAAAGGGCTGCATTCTTCAACAATGCCCCTCTCAGTGGCAGGCATATCTCAGAGCTCCCACAGTCTCTGATCATAGCAACCTGCCAGGACCAACACCCCAGTTGAAGTGGAGGCATCCCAGGCAGCAGGCCAGGGCCACAATGCACGTTCACAGGCTCAGTTGCAGCCCCTCGATCACACCACGGCACCTGGACTTTTATCTCCATTTCACAGGTGAGGACCTGAGGCTCAGGAGACCCTGTCACTT